AAGAGGTTTAAAATGTACTACATCAATTTGCATGTCTTCTACTTTCAAATGCTTAGATTGAGAAGTCATTGATGTGGTTATTGAATTTTAATAATATTGAGGTTTCCTTGTGCATTTCTCAGATCAAAATTCAAAAAGGTGATTATTACATTTCATAGCAAAGTCAATTTCTTGACTTAATGTTTGAGGATCATGTAAATTGAACATCAATTTCTTTACTTCATATTCCAATCCGTAGAAAAATTGGCTAATGAGTGCTACATCATCCCATTTGATATTTGTCGCTTATTGTCAAAATTGTGAAGTATATAATATCACTAATCAATTGTCTTATCGTAAGACATGAATCTTGTTGGTTGCAACATGAATTGCATCATGTTTTCCATATATAGATTAAAACTCCATTAAGAATGCTTCTAAATTATCCAATATTGAATCATGTCGTGCAAGAAATGATGAAAACCATGATAAAGCAGAACTTGAAAGTAGTGTTTCAATAAACTTGACTAGTGATCCTTGAGTTGGATAACTTTGAGGTTGTAGTTCAATCACCATTTGTACATGATTGATGAATCCTTAAAACTTAAATCTTGTACCATCAAACTTCTCAAGTAATCCAATTTTTGGTTCTTTGAATTTTGAACGATGTTCCATTGTAGGAGCAATAGTATAACTTAGTATAGGTATTGAAGCAACTCCAATCATCTCTATATCTTCATTGTCTGATAATCTTGTTACTCCTTGTGGTAGTAGACTGAGTTGATGCATTGCAAGCATCAACTCTCTCATTTTTTCTTGTATTTGAGTCATTGCACTCTTCATTTTAACAAGCTCTGCCATGCTAGCACAATAAAATGAAAGATGTCTATTCTCACAAAATATAATATTCAAGAATCAAGAAAAAAAATTCTAAAAATAATATCAATTTAGAAGAGAGTAATCCGCAACTTCTAATATACTTATGTCTTATCAAGAGAAAGGGATAATCTACTTTTAATTAAAAAAAGACAAAGCTCTCATATTGTATGTCCACTCTTGTTAATCTCTCAAGGACACAAACTGGAAGAAGATGCATAAAGTCATGGAATTTATATAAAAAAAAAAGTAACAAAATAGAAGAAAGTATGTATATTTGAGGAAGAATTGGAATGGCTATTGCCAAAGACTAGAAAATATAAGATTCTTGAAACTAGACTAAAAATAAGAAAGGAATTGACAAGAGTGAGGAAGGCCTCATTCTTGTCTCTATATATACTATTTAACTAAGAAATACATGGCGACATGCTATAGGACCTCTAATATGCATCCAATTTGCATGACACATGTCTAATTTGTAAGACAAGTTTCTTAGGTGTGAGCCATATGTCCAACTTGTACTAGAAGTACTCAACATGTGAACACGTGGCCTCTTTGTTGGCCAAGTTTTCAACCTAGCAATCACCTATAGACATGTATAAAGGCAAAGCAACATCTATGAAGCTTCTAAGAACCTTTCCACAAGATATTATCATATTTATCTACTTTGATTTATTTCTACCTATTCTTATTATTTAGATAATTATTAAGATAAATATGTATGTCTATGATATTATGTACTCTTGAAGCTCGTCACAATTTTCCTATAGTAGGACATTTTGGATATAATAAGACTTTGAAGCTTATATCTAAAAAATTTTAGTGGCTTCAAATGTGAAAGGCTATTAAAGAATTCTTGCAGACATGTGATATTTATTCAAGATAAAAAAACTCCTTGTCATCAATCTTATAGACTCCTTCAACCATTACCTATACCAAAACAACTATGGTCTTCTGTCTATATGGATTTTATCCTGGATCTTCCAATTTCTAGTTCATATGATTCCATATTTGTGATTATAGAAGATTTCACCAAGATGACACATTTTTTATCATGTATAAAATCTATAATAGGTGAAGAAATAGCCACTCTCTTCCTTGACAATATCTATCACTATCGTGGATTACCAAAGGATATTATATGAGATAGATGAAAATAATTTTTATCGAGATTTTAGAAAATTCTTTTCAAAATATTCAAGGTGGATATAAAATTATCTTGAGCTTTTGACCTTCAAACTAATGGACAAAGAGAATAGTTAAATCAAGTTTTAGAACAATATTTGAGGTATACCATCAATTATCAACAAGATGATTGGACAACTCTTTTGCCATTGACAGAATTTGCTAACAATAATTTGGTACATTCTTCTATTTAACAAACACCTTTCTTCGCCAATTACACTTATAAGCCACGATTTGATACTTTTGACTTTTCAAAAGTTGATAATCCTGCAGCAGAAGATGTGGCAAATCAATTGTCAAAGCTACATACAACAATAAAGGTATAATTAAAAAAAAATCAAGAACGACAAAAAATCAATGCAAATACCTATCACAAGGAACAACTTCAATTCCATGTAGGGGATAAGGTATGGTTATTTCATCATAATATTAAAACTATTTGTCTTTGTGACAAGTTGGATTATCATAGGCTTGGATTATTTTCCATTTGTGAACAGATTAATCTAGTTACTTATTGATTACACCTATCGAAGTCTATGAAAATCCATCCTGTGTTCTATGTATCTTTACTTGAGCCATACAAGACAATGGATATACAAGGAAAGAGACAAATACCACCACCTCTTATAGAAGTAGACAATAATGAAGAATTTGAGGTAGAAGAAGGCTTAGATTCAAGGCGGTGCCAAAATAAGTTAGAATATCTAGTACATTGGCATGGATATGAAATTAATAAATGCATATAGGAGCTATCCAAGAATCTAGCAAATGCATCAACCAAATTTAAAGCTTTTTATGAATGACATCCATCAAAACCAAGATCAAAAGTCAAGAAATTCTTTGCTATAAAGCAAAGTAAGCCCAATGGAGATTTCATTCTATCTTGTATCATTGTGTCTTTGGATTTTTTAGTACTTAGGAGATAGAGAACAACAACCATTAGATTCAATTCAAGAGCTACTATTTGCTAAGCTACTAGACTAGACATTGCGACTATTATAACCTTTGAGACGGTGAAATTGAGATGAAGACCCTCAAGAATGACATGTTCTTCCTCAAATAGATGGCGAGATACAATGCGTTTGGTACCACAACCTTGGAAAGAACTCCTGATGTTTAGTGATACTTTTAGAGGTAGGAACCACTCTTAATGGTATTAATAATGTTTTTTTTTAAAGAAGTTATGAACCCCTCAATAATGATCAAATATCAAGATGGTCTTCTCATTCTAGTATGGGACATTATTGATGCTTGAGGGAACCTATCAACTACCTTCGAAGAGAATAAAGATCAAAGTATGTGGCAAATATAGTTTGGTGCATCTTGGACTTCATCAATATATAATCACCGCTCCTCGTCGCACTCATCCCTAGAAGGGGAGGTAATATCACAGACATATATATTTATCTTGATAATTATCTAGATAATAAGAATAGGTTGAAATAAGTCAAAGTAAATAAATATGATAATATCTTGTGGAAAGGTTTCTAGAAGCTTTATAGATGTTGCTTTGCCTTTATACATGTCTATAGATGATTGGTAGGTTGAAAACTTGGCCAATAAGGAGGGCATGTGTTGACATGTTGAGCACTTGTAGTACAACTTGGACATATAGTGCACACCAAGAAAACTTGTCTTGCAAATTAGACATGTGTCCTACAAATTGGACGCATATTAGAGGTCCTATAGCATGTTGCCACATATTTCTTAGTTAAGTAGAATATATAGATGCAAGAGTGAGGCCTTCCTCATTCTTGTCAACTTCTTTCTTGCTTTTAGTCTAGTTTCAAAAGTCTTATGTTTTCTAATTTTTGACAATAGCCATTCCAGTTCTTCCTTGAATATACATACTTTCTTCTATTTTGTCACTTTCTTTTTGATACAGATTCCACAAGTTTATGTATCTTCTTCTTGATTGTGTCCTTGACAGGCACACATATAGGAAACTTATCTTGCAAGTTAAGATATGTGTCTTGCAAAGTCAACACGTTTTGGAAGTCCTATAAGACATTGCCACATAGTTCCTAGTTAAGAATTTATATGGAGACAAGAATGAAGCCTTCTTCACTCTTATCAACGCCTTTTTAGTTATTAGTCTTGTTTAAAAACTTTCTAGTCTCCTTTTTTTTGGCAATAACTATTCTTATTCAATATTATATCATCTTTGAATGACTTTTTAGTTCCTTTCACTAATACAAGAATATATTGAGGATTTTCTTTCTTTGAGATTTTTGTCCTTGTTACATATAAAAATATCAAATTTTTATTTTTTACTTTTTATTATCCAAATATGAGCTTTTGTACAAATTCTATTGTGTTCTACATTATAAGATTAAAATTTAAATAAAATTCATTTAAATTATCCAATATTAAATCTTGTATAATTTTATTTTATTATTTTATAGTATTAATAAATCATATATAATATTATAGCTTTATTTTAGAAATCTTTGTTTGAAATCATTAATATTATAAAATATATTTTGATATTATAGCAATAAAATCTATGTTTTAAAAAATTGTGATCATTGACTATAATTGTTGCATTTGATAATTTTATTACATAATTAAATATACAATAAATTTAATTAGTTTTTAAATATTTTAAATAGTAACTATAAAATATATAATATGGTCCATGTTAGAATCTAAACACACTAATTAAGTTGTTTAATTAACTTACAAATCATCATCTTTTTATTTCTATACATTTCAAAAGTACTTTGACCTAGAAACCCTCAAACATAAAAAGCCAACTAAGAATGAGTTTTTAATTTCAATCAATCAAAAAGTTTAAAAGTTGTGATCTATCTTCTCCTCTAAATCTAAGCACCTCATTAGTATTGAGCAATTCAAAGATATGCACTTTTAATAAAAAATTATTCAAAACAAACTGCAATTTCCAATGTCGTATAAAAAGTATATATCAAAAACACTCTTTGTTGAGTTGACTCGGCGTGGATAGGCGCTGACCAATTCGGTCAAAAGAATAATTTCTTACTGCTGTCTGTGAATCAGAAAAACATGGATCGATGGTTTTACAAAGAATGAAAAATAACTAACTAAATAAATAAATAAAAATACTCTACCCATCCTACACTAGAAACGGAGCAATGTGCTCGGCGGCGAAAATTGTGTTGTGTTTCTCATGTGTCGGTGAACCAAGGGGGACAACATCGGCTGAGGGGAATTCACGGCGGAGTCCTTCAACAAGTCTACGAAGAGCTCGGCGCATATTCAACGAAAGAATTGTTGAATGATATAACTACTTGGGGATTTCTGAGTTCATCCCTTCTACTATATGAGTTTGTTGAGCTGAATTCGGCAAGTGCTGAAGCAAAATTGCACCTACAATTTGAAGACAAGCAGGATCAGGTGAAGCTCCAGAGATTGTGGTGGAACTGATCGTTGTGGTCGTCGGAAGTGTCGCTGCCCGGCGGATGTGATTCGGAAGGAGGGTCGTCATGGAACGCAATGGAGTCCATGACAGGGGTAACAACATCCGATGGCAGCATCAGTTCAGAGAGGTATGCTAAAGCGTCGGCATCCAGTGGCTCGAAGTACCCTAGTTCGGCGTTGATCCAGTCTTCCATATCTGTCGCTATGCTTTTCGATTCTAGCACTGGGAAGGTGAAGTGTGCAGAGCTTTGTTGCGATGCAGTGTCGGGCGGGGAAGAGGAGGAGTAGAATTGATGTGGATGCAGGGAATTGCTATCGATGATGTTTTCCTGCGGTGACGGTGATGTAGTTCGAGTAGCTCCGGCATGTAGTTGATTTAGTAGTGGTGGGCAGGCTGCCGCGGCGGCGGCTGCGGCTGCTTGCACGTCCCGGGGCGTGGAGCAGAGAGGGAGGTCAGACGGAGGTGTGTCAGGGAAGTTGAGAGGGGCTGATGGGCCTCGCAAGCACACGACAGCGGCGTCGTACGCCTTGGCAGCCATCTCAGCGGTGGGAAAAGATCCTAGCCAAATGCGAGACCTCTTGTTTGGCTCTCGAATCTCCGAGACCCATTTGCCCCACGCCCTCATGCGTACGCCCTTGTACACCTTGCCACTGCCCGGGGGTGACGTCGATGTTGAGGTGGTGTTGTGAATTTGCTTCCCTTGCGAAGGCTTCTTAGAAACGGAGGTGGGTGCCATCCGAGGCGCCAACAAAACTCTTGCTCTCTTCGCACTGAGAGGCTGCGGATCTGGTGCTTTCTCCACCATTTCTGCGCCCTCCAATTTCCTAACCCGCGCAATTTCTCTCAACCGTGGTATCTCCCTGCAGTCTTTAGGACCACGACGCCAAAAGAACAGAGTATGCAATTAACCTTTGTATCGAAATCCTTCCACCACCTTTAGCTATCCCGCCGTAGCATACTGTGATTACGTCTTCTTATATGCATTCACCACTGCAATCATTTTCTCATAATCCCAGGTTGATCTACACGAACATTTGGATCCTGTACCAAGCCTCTTAACATTGTCATAGAATCGCCTGCAACCAAGTAAAGCATCGAGGCGATTTAAACTCTTCAATCTCCAGCCAATATGTACCAGTCACTGCGCTGGTGTGAATACAATAAGGAAGAAAAAACAAAACCCCAGTGAACTCCACTGACTAGAACCCCCAATTAAGCCAGATTATGCAGGTTGTTAATAAATCAGCTGCTAGCTGTGCAGGGCGCAAGCATCCGTGTCGGAGTGACTACGAAACACCTATCTGCATTCCCTACTATTTCTTCCTTTTGTAGCGATTCCCAGTTCCTGCAGGGAGGGGTACGTTGTCCAATGTCCCTGAAGAGAGGGATGAGGCTTGCACTGGATTGAAATTTTGTACACAAGCCACTCCATTAAGTAGGGGAGGCAGCAGTGCTGCCGTCTGAGTTGCACCCCAAACCCTCAACACGGAGTATGGGAGCGCGTCTAGAGGGGCCCAAGCGGCTGCAAAACCCAACACATGTGTCTGGGGGAGTCGTGTCTTGGTTTGCGCTTCCACAGCATCCTTGAGATGCGTGGCCTTATTTGGCGTGTTTGACAGCTAGTGGGACTTGTAAACTCACTCTTCGACAATCAATTGGCAACCACTGGTGCCACCTGGTGCCGACGCGTTGATTCCCTGTCCTGCACAGTAACTCTCGTTTTTCAAGTTCATGGAAATGCTGGGAAAATTAACGAATGTTGAGATTGTAGGCACCTCACCACCACCTGAATCCAACTCACTCCCAAATCACGTGTGTACTGCGTAGTCGAAACCAGGTGTAGACTCTATGCCTCGGGATTTCGGGGTCCCAAAGCATCGACCTCGGATACAACGGGACCCAGCACTTCCAGATTCTATGACGGGTTATGAATCCTCGGAGCAGTGGATTGACGATGCTGTACTGCTCACCACTTGTTTCCAGCAATGAAGTACCAGCGCCAGACACTGCCTTTGGATTATTATTCATCTTTATTTGGCTGTGATCATGATGAGAGTAGGGCTTCTCGACAACTGTGAGGCGCCGCCAACTGTCTCGTCCCAAGGCTTCAGAAATGCATCGACGTTGTGGACTCATCAATGAATGAAAGGCTTTTCCGTAATTAAGCTTTACAAATCTCATATGCTCACACAATCGGTCTACTATTATGGGTAGGTGTGAGGGTGTCATCATCCGAGAATAGATAGGAGATCTATTATTATTATTTTTTGATACAAATAGAGCTTACTTCTCTATTGTAGATAAGATAAATTACACTATAGTAGATGTGAAGGTGACATTAGGTAAGCTAAATTATATTATAGGAGATGTGAAGGTGACATCATTCAAGAATAGATAAGAGATCTAAGGTGTACAAGGGCATATACATGAAGGTGTGGGGCAAATTGGTCTTTGAGAGCCAAACAAGAGGTCTTCTATTTGGCTAGGATCTTATTCCACTGCTGAGATGGCTGCCAAATTAGATCAGTTATTTAGATAATATATATGGAGGCAAGAATGAAATTTTTTTTACTCTTGTCAACATCTTTTTAGTCCTTAGTCTTGTTTCAATATTTTTTAGTTTTCTTGTCTTTGGCAATAGCTATTCTAGTTTAATATATTACCATCTTTGAGTGACTTTCTAATCTTTTTAAATGACATAAGAGTATATTGAATTTTCTTTCTTTGAGATTCATGTCCTTGACAATTCGACAAGAATCTTAACTCATTATTCTTATTTTGTTCTAAAGATGAGTAGATTATTCTATTTCTATTGTTGTATTTTTGAAGGTTGTAGACTACCCACTTTTAAACTAACTTATAATTTTCTAACATTGATTTTTTTTTCTTAAGGTAAGAAGATTATCCTTCTTTGTAGAAATTTTTATTTGATACTAGAAGTTGTAGAGTTATCTATTAATTTAATTTTTTGAATTTATTTGAATTATCTATAAAAAAAAAAAATTATAGATGCTACTCTTGGCAGAAGTGAGAATAAATTTATAACTATTACAAATCTTCATGAGATTATCAACATTATTAGGATAAAGATTTCACATATTTTCAACATGAATCATGGAAGTACTATTTCTATGCTTATGAAAGAAGTTAATAATGAAGTTCAAAGTATGTACTAAAAAGTTGTGCAATTAAAAGAAACAAATAGATCAATTTCATAATTAAATCTAAGGAATTTTGCTACTATAAATATAAGAAAAAAAAACGATAAGTATGCTAGAGAAGTTTAATAGAACAAAGACAAAGTCTTGAGGATTTTTATAATAAATAAAGTTTTATTTAATATAACATCCTTTTCAATACTCCAATGGATTTATTCAAGTCAGATTTATAAGAGCACTTTTTTATAAGAGTGTTCTTTCTTAGTTTGCATCTTTGATAGAAATAGATTTACTACTATTCTATGATTTGAATTTATTCTTGGAAGTATTTACAACTACATTTGAAAAAAGTTATTAAAAAATGGTAGTAGAAATTAAGCTCATATTTCTATGATAAAAATCATGTTCAGCCACCATATATGTTGTTCAATTCCAAAATCTTACTTGTAATATGGATTGAAATGACAAAGCCTTTATCAATCAATTTTGATATGGACTAAAAGATAATATCAAAGATTTATTGTTGATAATATCAAGAACAAATTTATTAGAGTAATTCATTGCTCAAGCTATTGCATGCAATAATTTATTCTTTGAAAGATGATAAGAACAAAGATTTTGTTTGAGAGGTACAAGTTAAGCCATGGCAATATTTTCTAAGTTTTTGAAAGCTTTTTGTTCAAATTAAAACCTATGAAAATTGATAGGATATATTTTAATCCTCTTTCTAAGAAAAAAAAATACTCATCATTGTTAAGAAGGTTTGTGCCTATATTATGGACAATCCAAGCATACTACTTAATATTATCTAAAGAAAAAATGTAATTACAAAATGACAAGCATAGTTGCCAAAAATGACAATGTGTCAAAAAATAAGTTTTTCCAACTACAAAAGGAACTATGTAGCTCGAATCTTGCATAATACCAAGTAAAGGTCCTATTCTCTCCTCAAATCCTTCATCTTGTTCCTTAATAGAAGTTTGTTTAGGACCAAAAAATCACAAAGTTTTAGTCTTGTTAAATTCAAGAGCCTCAACCTATTTTTTAGATAAAGACTTTATTAAAAAATAAAAAATATCTCTAATGAAAAAAACCAATTTATGCATATAGAAGTAATAGATAGTCATTTGTTTCTTTTAAAGATGTTACACATGAAATATTTTTTTTAGATATAGTAATTACTAGTAATAATAATTAAATAGTATTTTATGTGATTAGATCTCATTCTAATCTAATTATTTAAGAACTATTGTGGCTAGAAAAGTATAACCTTCAAATAGACTAGATTTTTTGTAACCTTAATTTTTTTCATAATTTTTCTTATTTTCTACTAAGCAAGTAAAAATCCATAAGACCAATACATCCAAATCATTATTAGTAGGTGCAAGAGCTTTTATGCATGCTATAAAGAAAAGATCATCTTTTGCTATATATGTCATATCTATTATTGATAGAAAAAAGATTTCAAGCGGCATTTTAAGCTAATTCCAAGATTATTAAAATATATTTGAAAAAAAAATGTAGATATTCTTCTAAAGTATTGTTCTTATGATTGTTCCATTGATTTTCAAGAAGGAGCTCAACCACCATTTGAACCAATGCATAGCCTATCATAAAACAAGTTGGTTGCACTCAAGGAATATATTAGTGAAAATTGGCTAAAAACTTCATATGCCATTTTATATCTCTAGGTGGGATTCTTATCTTATTTGTGAAGAAAAAAGATAGATCTTTTTGGATATATATGGACTATTGAAGACGTAACAAGATCACCATCAAGAATAGATATCTTCTATTTTTAATTTAAGAACTAATTGATTAATTAAATCAAGCAAAGATTTATACAAAAATAGATTTATGAGAAATATATAATTTGGTATGCATTAAAAAAAGAAATGAATGAAAAATTACATTTTGAATTAGATATGGATATTTTGAATATAATATCATGCCCTTTGAACTTATAAATATACTAGTTGCTTTTCAACATCTTATTAATGATATTTTTTAGGAGTTTCTTGATGATTTTGTTATTTTTTATTTAGATAATATTTTAATCTATTCTAAGAATATAAAAAAATATGAACTTCATGTTTGTCATGTATTACAAAAACTTATAGATATAGGATTATATACTAAGATGGAAAATTTTGTATTCTATACTATTCAAGTTTACTTCTTTAAATATGTTATTTTCAACAAAGATCTTATGATGGATCTCAAGAAGGTTCCAACTATTATGGATTAGAATATTTCAAAAACAATTAAAGATATAAAATATTTTTAAAATTTGCCAATTATTATCAAATCTTCATCAAATATTTTTTCAAGTTATAGCTCTTCTTATACGTCTGACTTATAAAGATAAATTTGAATAGAAAAAAGGTACAAAAGCATCTTTTAAAGCCTTAAAGATATCATTTATTTTTGTACCAATCATATATTACATCGACTTCTCTAAGACATTCTCTGTAGAAACAAACACATCAAAGTTTATTATGAATGTGATTTTTTTTACAAATGAGAGTAGATGACAAGCTCTACTTAGTAGCTTTCTATTCCAAGAAATTTTCAGTAGCCAAGATCAACTATGAGATCCACAACAAAGAACTTATACAAATGAGGATTAATTTCAAGAGTAGTGTCATCATCTAAAAGGCGCTTCTAGTTTAATTATTGTATATACAGTGTTATATAATAACAAAGTCATTAGATGAAAGAAGAAATAAAATATTTTATTATAAAAAAATCTAATTAAAAATATATAGTAGATAAAAAAAATATATAAATGATAGGTAGGTAATAAAATCTATTAGTGTTAGAATTACCTTTTGTGAAAATAAGTTCTATTTATTTTGTAGAGCCATAAATAAGATATAACAAGATAGATTAGAAAAAAAAATAAAAGCATATATAGAAAAAAGTTAAGAATTGATTTTAGCAAAAATTATTTTAAGAAGACAAGAATTGATACTCAGAGAGAACTAATTTCCAATTAAGATCAAAATCAAACCTTGAGGCATAAAACCAAGCACCTATGATTACTCTAAGGTTCTTTTGTCAATTCAAAAAAGATATTTGAGAGCAAATTTAAGATAAAGTTTTTAAAAAATAGTTTTATGTCATTTAGATAAATATTTAATTTTGAAGGATTTTTGAAGTTAATAATGTACTTAATAGATTTTGATTTTAAGAAATAAAAATAAGTTTATAATTTTGAGGATTTTATGAATTTTTTCGTATTTTTATAGGTGAAATTTTGGTA